GCTAATCCGGGTGAGTGTTTGAAGCTGTGCGCTGCTTTACCTGCTATCTGATCGCTCCATATGTCTTTTTTACTGCAATGAGCCTCGATGTAGTCAAACTCCGTCAAGTATGGCTTTGTTTTTATGCCATATTAGATTCGTAGTTGTGATGCATTTTGACGCGCTTCACCCCATGTGCTTCAATTTTCGGTAACACTTTATTTGAAGGGGGTTGAATAAGACTGACATGACACTGTCATAAACATGACATAACACCTGTCATGAACATGAATAAGCCTTCATGAATATTTATGACTGTTGTCATAAAGCGTCATTCAGTAAATTATGACACTTTTAATACAAAGTTGACATTATTCAAAATGTCTTTGTTATGACAACTTGACATTAACCAAGAAATCATTACTGATATAAATTTGTTATAAAAGTATTACTGATTATACTTTAAAAATTAGGTAACTTTATGTTATTAAAGGTAAAGTTTAAACGTTAATGATTTCTTGGTTAATGTCAAGTTGTCATAAAAAAGACATTTTGAATAATGTCAGCTTTGTATTAAAAGTGTCATAATTTACCGAATGACGCTTTATGACTACAGTCATAAATATTCATGAAGGCTTATTCATGTTCATGACAGGTGTTATGTCATGTTTATGACAGTGTTATGACAGTTGTATTCAACCCCCTTCAAATAAAGTGTTACCAAATACTCTGATGTCACAGATGTGTCTCATCTTCAAGATAAAATAAACTACTACTAGGCATGCTGTATTTAAGATAAATAATTATATCCTTTTGAAAATATAAGTATATCTATAAAATACATTAAGGTAGATAAAATTTTAATTTAATATTAACACATTACTAAATTATAATTACATTTTGCATGGAACAGTAGCACCTGCATACATCTGGCCAATCATCAGGAAGTATGGAGGCATTTCACAGAGTCTGGTGTCCTTCCTTCCTACCTTCATTCTTTCCTTCCTTTCTCTCTTCCTTCCTTCATTCTTTAGTTAGTTTGTTAGTTCCCCTGTTCTATCCTTTCTTCTTTCGTTCCTTCATTCCTTTCTTCTATACTTTGGTCTCTCTTCCTTCCTTCCTTCCATCCTTCCTTTCTTCCCTCTTTCATTCTTCTGTTTCTCCCTTCCTTTGTTGAGTCCTTCCTTCCATTGTTTAGCTTTTAAAGGTAAAAACTGTATTTAAATCTTTAGACTCACCAGAGAAATATCTGCTGTGAATTAGTATGAAACTCTTATATTTAAATGTTAGGAATGGGCCAGATTTATGTCTGGAAAAGTGTGGAATTTGGACACAAGAAACGTGCTGGAAATTTAACGAGACAAACATCACACTCAGTGTCAGCCTATCACAGTCTTTATGTCTTATAAAGTTTAGCACAAACATGAAATCATAAAAGTCAGCCCGATGCTAACCATGTGTGTGCTTCCCTCTTCTGACAGCACACAGCAAGCAGCATTGTGTTCCTCTCACACCTACTTTAATAGCCCGGCTTTGTTTGGCAGTCGTATGCCATACGGCATACAGACCTCTGCAAGTGTTCACAATGCCATTAATAGTCCTGACAACAGCTTAATGAGCCTCTGCCATCTGTTTGTGAAGGCTTCAGGGTGGAGGGGGAAAAAAAGGAACAAGAAAATCAGACTCAGTAGCGATTTCCAGTCGTGTGAGTGCCTCTGATTTCCACTTGAACAGATCCAAACACATGAGGACATTTTAAGTGTAGTGACTTATGTAGCGTCATCCAGCCTGAGTCAGTGACTGAGGCTGGGCTGTCTGCCCAGCATCAACAGCCTCTAAATCACGGGCTTCAGCCATCAGACCACACAACCTCGCTTTTAGCTTCTTCGCCCCTCCTTCGCTCTGTACCACCCTGGAGTGTCCTTAGGCCTTGTTTGGCTGAAGTATACACATGGCATAAGTAAGAAAAGCCACCCAGGGCTCCCTAATGTGGTGGCACGAGACACATACAAAGTTGCAGAAGACAGTGACACTAATGTGTTGCCTGGTTAATGCCGCCGTGGTGTCTTTAATTACGCCACGCAGGAAATTGGATTGCCTGGATTTGACGCTGCAATGCAGCAACTTCTTAGAACATTCCTGTTTCATTTTCAGCTGGACATGGAACAAAAAACTGTGTTCATATGTGAGGATTTTTAATCCAAAAAGTATTTATACTACTTGAACTGCTTCACTTACATTTCTAGAACTGCACTGCTTATGGTGACAAAGACTTGGAGCAACTCTTTTACTTTCATTCTGATTTGTTCTTTTTGTGGAGTTTTTGGACGTTGTGCTGCTGCAAGAGGGTCTCCTTTTATTTTTTCACTTTTTGACAGTTGCTATGATGTGAAACTTTGGCAACAAGGTGCTTTTCTTAAAACTAGGAGCAGCAGATTAGCATCTCCAAAGCTCAAATTATACCTGAACTACGACCCCAAATCCCAGGGGAGTTGAGAGGGAGGCTTCATGGATGCAGAGAAGAGAGAAAACCGTCTCTCCTATCGATCATAACGGTCAGGAATGGTATCCCCATCTCCAAGATCTTTCCACCCGGCTTTCTAACAATATGGCTAGGCTGACATGTAAAGAGGAGCAGCAAAAGCAAATGAGATGGATTAGCAGTGTTTACCAACAACTGATTTTGTCATCCAGGACATCTCACTAGCATGTTTGCATCAATATATATTTTTTCATGTGCATTTTGATGTACCATATTAGAAAGTTAGATGGAAATGGGAAAATTCGAAGAAAAAAAAGAAGAAAAAAAAAAAAACATCCTAAATTTCGCAAAAAGGTTTTTATGCTCACTTTGAATTTTTTATAAGAGAGTTAATTTGTAAAAGGGGAAATGGAAACACATTTACCAAATTAGTTCTGACATAGTGAACTTAACTGGTGGGTCTGTGCACCACAAATTTCAAAGTCAAACTCTCCAAACAATTTTTTTAAAAATTGCTCAAAATTTGCTTCACAATTGAATGGAAATGTAGAATATCGTCTCCGCTGTCCGGACATCGAGGCATTAGAATGTCATGACAGTCATACAGCAACAGTCTACAGTCAGAGGTTTCTCTAGAGTTGTTGGAAGACAGACTGCTACCACAAGTTGCTCCTGCTCACAGCATCGCCATCCTCAATTTCTCTTTGAAGATGCTTGGATATGAGTAATGACAACATTTAATTTTCCTTTAAGATTTATGCAGTACTTTTATAGTTGAATTGAATTTAAAGTTACAACAACAAAGTATTTTTATATATAATTTATTAGCATTTTATGTGATAGATCAACACTAGAAAGAGCTTTACTGTGAAGGGACAGGAAAATGAAATGAATGACTATTTTAGCCTTTTTTGTACAATATTAGAAATGCATTATAACACACAAATATACAAATGATTCAATTACTTTCTTAGGGAATGAAAATTTTATTGCCTAAAATGCAATAACGGAGCATTCCTTAAGTAAACGCCTGATCATTTGTAGCAAAGGATGCATCTGTAGCTAACACAATATTTCCGACATCAACATGTGAAAAGCTCAGTCCTTTCTGCTTGACTTAACATCAAGCAGATGTTAAGTCAAGCAACAAATATGATGAGTGTTTGTTGCATTAGCTGATTAATAATTGTATAGCAATAGGTGCTTTTAAAGTATTTAAACAAACTAAAGCTGCCACTTAAGGAGCTCTGGGTAGAACATATGTGCAAGCAAAGGTTTATTTTTTTTTATCTTAAATGCAAGAACTAAATTAGTTAACCATTATTTCAATAATCAGTTCATCACAATTAATCCGTTCAATTGTTCTAAATATATAATGCTGGTAGAAACACTTTAAAAAGATTTGACTTTGTAACTGCAGACAAAAGTGACTCTAAAAAGTAAAAACAATAAGGAATGTGTGCAAATACACTCCAGATTTGGAAACCTATGTATATTCTTTCTTAAGCATCTCAATCAGGCACTTTAAATCAGAAGATTGCCAAAAAATATATTGTAGCTTGGGATGTGAATACTTTTGCGAGGCACTGTATTTCCCATCATAAAATCCCATATGAAATAGACTGCAACTTTAACAAATATCCTCTGGCTGAGTTAAATTTTACAAACTTGTTGACCTAAAATAGTTCCCCAGAAATGAAAAACTGATTTACTTTAAGACAGTACCAGTGTTTTTACATTTTCTGTTGGGCGCAAAGTGGAGCAAGCTTATCTGTGCTTGAACAATATCTGCAGACTGATTGTCATATGAGGAGATTCTTCCCTGCATTCCTTGCCAACAGCAGACACGAGCCAAATCTAAGACATGCATCTGTTCTGCAGCGGTGAAACACAGAGCCAGGAAATATGTTGGACATCGTCTTAGTTTGTACGACAAGGGACGGATATTGAAATGCCTTCAACAGAAGGAGGGACATCTGGTCATCTTTGTGCATCTAAAACCTTTAACTTCACTTTAATAATGGTATTTTGCATTCATAAAGTAGAAAACACAATTCATCTCTGTTTCAAAGTCTTTGTTCTCGCCTTACTCATACAATAAAGAATCCTTCAAAGGAAAATAAGGAGGTGATATGCATGTTTCTGTTTCGTGGTCGCTTGTCTGTAAAAGATTTGATCAGGATGAAAAAGATTTAAAAGATTTTAGGCGCAGTGCATGTACGTGCAAATTGCAGATTAATTACAGATAAGAGTCACTGTGCTGAAAACGGTTTGGTGGGATGGAGGTGGGCGGCTGGTGGTAAATGTTTGGTGTGGGCAGCAGTGATGGTGGTCCCTCTCTCTCTCCTCCTTCCCTCCCTTTGCTCCCTTCTTCCCAGTGTCCTGTTGTCCTCAACCCATCTGTTCCTGCTTGGCCTCCCAGGCTTTCCATCAGGTAGGCCTCAGTAACTGAATGCTACTTTAACTTATGGCATCTGAATATGTCTGGTTGAGGAATCTGTGTCCACCTGAATGTGGTTTTGCAACATTTTGTCTGTAATTGATGGTAAACACTCCTCTTGAGCTATAAGTGTGGTGAACTGATTGCATGTAATCAGATATAAACCTAAAATGATAAAATGGATGCAATTTTTTTCCTTCTGTTGGAGAAATTTTTAATTTCATTTCTTTAATCATTCTCACCTGACTTTTACTGTGTCTATAAAAAGCATTCAGGATCAACAAAATGCTTCTTTTTTGTTTCATGAATTACAAAACAACCTTTAGTGTCAAATTGAAATCTGATTTCTACAGAATTAAACCGAATTAAAAATATTTCACATTAAATAAGTGATTGCATGATTATTCTCCCCCTTCAAGTCAGTATTTAATAGATGCACATCTGGACGCTGCAGTTTTCCTCCATTCTTCCTGCTAAGCTTTTCTATCTCTATCAGGATAATGACGTCTGGGCTTTGACTAGGTTACTCCAGGACATCCACCTTATTGTCTTCAGACTATTTCTGTGTAGCTTCAGCTGAATATTTTGGGATCTCTGTCTCAGCAGCTCTGCAGAAATCTTTATCTTTCAGCTTGTTGAGATTTTTTTTTTTTTAAGTAAGCTTGGATTCTTCCAATAGATGACGAAGAGATTAAACTCTCCACAACAGACTTATATATTCAGCATCTTGCCGCAAACACTGAAGAAGCTCCCTCAACAAGTCCAGTGGATATGCCATCAAAGTTCTCCAGCTGTTTTGAGCCTGTAAAAAACATCCACCTCTGCTTAAGGGTGGCTGATTATTACTAGAATAGAAGTGTGCAGGGACAGCAACAACAAAAACGATCACCACACCACACTCAGACCTTTGTCACTGTGGGAAACTGCACTGCAGCTGGTGTAGCATAGAGAAGGACAAACATAGAGACATAGAGAAGGACAAACAGCTCCAAATTGTGCCCATCCTTGACCACAATGGAAAAGGAGGACATTTTCTTTAAATTGCAGCTTTATGGTATATAATACACGTATTTGTATTTTGCATTCTCTGTGCATAATTCCTTCTGATTACACTGCAAAAACAAAATTCTCACCAAGTATTTTCTGTTTGGTTGCTAATGCAAATATGTTAGTACCCTTGAAATAAGACGAAACTAACGATAAGTACCTTTCCATTGGATCCCATACTTTTTTAAAATCAATATTAAGAAATTATTGACTTACAAGTTCCTATATCTTGCTGAAAAGTTGTTTGTAAGTTAGTTTTGTGTTATTTCAAGTGTACTAAGATATTTGTACTAGAAACTAAACAAGAAATACTTCTAAAGATTTTGTGTTTTTGCAATGTGAGGAAGTGTTTAGGCAAGAGTGAATGGCTAAACATTCACTCGATTAAAGGAGATTAAAGGATTTCTCAAACATGCATCCGAGAATCAAAGCAACACTCCAGGTATGTTTTTGATGAGGGAGTAACATTATAACATGATATAAAGGTCAAAAAGAGTCAATTTTACATAATACCTCTCCTTTAAATGTTTCAAATGATAAAACTAACTGCTCTAACTCTAAGCATTCTGAAGCTGATATCATCAGATGAGTAAGAGATTAAAAATTGATAAATAGATTACATGGTAAAAATTTATTGTTATAAGTTAAATAATCTGCCAGTGGTACTATAATTTTTGTTTCTACAATCAATTAAAGAATGCTGCTATGTCATGCTGAAAAGTTTCTTGTAAGTTTGTTTTGTCTTATTTCAAGAGTATTAAGATATTTGCACTAACAAAACATAGTTGGTAGGATTTTGTGTTTTTGCAGCGTTAATCATCAAGCTGTCATCAACAAGCAAAAGGTTTTTCAGTGCTGAGAAAACTTCCAAACACAAGGCTGAAACCGATGGGAAATTGCAGAAACGTTGAGACAAGATAATGGAAGCAACCTTGTGCAGTGATAATTTAACTGCAGACATGCTGGTGGCAGCCATGTTCTAACAGTGTGATGAGAAGTTCTGGTGCTGGATAATGACGCTGTTCGACAGAGAGAGGTCTACCCGAGTGTGGTTGATCCCCAGGTGGGTCTAGACGGTGAGGTTGTTGTCGAACGGCAGCTCTGCTGAGGAGCATGGTGAGGGAACAGGACAACATCTGGGGGAAGAAGAAAATAGCAGGGACCTAATTGCTGATTACCAAGAATTCAGCAGCATGACCACCTTCAGACTGCAGGGGGTCCTTCAGTGTTGTCATTATCCAGCCACTTCCTAATGGGCTGTATAAGTGGCGGAGAGCTTAGGGAGGCCTTCATCCTGTGTGAAGGTGGTCTTAACTTACACTACCAAAAAGATCACCCTCTCTAGTACATCATTGGACCACCTTCAGCTTTAATTATACCACACATTTGCTCTGGCATTATTTCGATAAGCTTCTGCAACGTCACAACATTTATTTCCAGCCATTGATTTTTCATCAACATCTTGCACTGATGATGGGACATTCGGACCACTGAGCAAAACCTGCTTCAGAAAATCACAAAGATTTCCAACCGGGCTAAGGCCTGAACTCTGCGGAGGCCGATCCATGAGAAAATAATGTCTCATCCTCCCTGAACCGCTAATTCACAGTTTCATTTTGGAAAATCCTCGTGTCTATGCTTAGAGTAAGAGCAGCTAATTTAAACCACTGGCGGGACACAAACTACATTGAATTAAAAAATGCTAAAATGTGCTTATTGTGATTTTTTTTTAGGTTTAATCTGCTCAACAAAAGCAGTGTTGTTATGAACTCTGTTTATTATCAAATATCCAAGGGCTTCTGACTGTTGCCTTATTAAAGGAGAAACAGACAACTTACAATTTTGGGTGATCAGTTGTTTTCTATTTTGTTGACCAAATTAAAGTTAAATTATTTCAAGGGCCACAAACGGCCCCTGAGTCACACTTTAGTCACCCCCAGTGCAAATAATACAAATATATTTTGGAATAGATGACTAACTTATAACATAAAGTAAGAAATCGATGCAAGAATTTAATCAGCATGTCAGTTTGTAAAGGTTTGCTGGGTAAATATAGAAAAATATTGATGTAATTTTGCAAATGTAGTTTTCATATTAAAAATAAATGCTTCGGTAAATTTAATTGGGCATTAGGAACAAAATGTATTTGGTTTTGTTTGGAAAATCCACATTCTCCACTTCTTTTTTTAACTTGATGTGAACCATAAAAGACAGAGCAGCCTTTCTCAAAAACTAAATCTGTTTGGGAACGTATTGCGGTTGCTTGTTCCCCAGAAACATTTTGAGTCCTCGTTTCAGAATAGCAATTTCTCAACAGTTTCTTTTTATTAATTCTTTTCAAATCTGAAGTGAAAACTTCCCCTTTGACGTGGGTCTGATTGCCAGGCATTAGTCATTTTTACAATGTGTTTTCCTATTTTTTGCTCTAATCCCACTCACTTTATCCAAGATTGCATGAAAACACAGTCCAGTTCTTGGAGCATATTTTCCTTTTATATTCCCAAGTATAACTTAAACAGATCTCTGCTTTGCGATTATGGTCCATACAAGCCATGAGACATATTTAGTGGTACCTTTGAAGCAATGTGCAGAAAACTGTAAAATGCCAGATTTGCCACCTCTTTTATTAGCCTCCTTTGCCCTAAGCTCAGTGTGTCATTATTACCGTGTTTCATTTTTTATGTCCAGGTGCGTTTCTGCTATGCTGCTGAGTTTGTTCTTTATGTATCACTCACCACTTTAATAGCTACAAAGTCTCAGAATTGGTCATGGCTGCCAGCATTTTTGATGTGTGCTGCCTCCTCACGGTCTTCAGGTTGTTTTCATTAATGGCAGGCAGAGCCTGGTGTCAGAAGGTGGTCTCCACGCTGGACTTGTTTCTAACAATGCTGGACTCAGTCATCACCAAAAATAAAATAATATAAAAAGAAAGCAGGAAGAAGGAGAATATTAAAGTCACCACACAGCTAATAATGGGATTAAATGAAAAAATGTGGTAGTTGAGTCAATGTGTAGTTGCTTTAGCCCAAAACCTCTGCAGCAATGTCCCAGCCAACCGTCCACTGGCCATTTATCCATCCATCCATTAATCCAACCATCCATCCATACAATGGGGGCCAGTGATTATGATGTTTAGTACAGTAAACTAAGTACAGTGTAAAATATGAAACCAAACCAAACCTAAAGACATTAGTAAAAGATAAATAGTGTCAATTTGACTAAAGTCAAAGAGATGAAGAAAAAAAACTGTTTCAGCAATCAATGCAATATAAATCAACTCTTGAACTTTCTGTGTGGCTCTTTACGGCGATGATGAGGTTCATTTGGCTCTTAATGGTGAACTGGTTTGCCACCCCTAATATGGCACATTTTAGCAACAAGGCAACGAGTGCTATACGCCATAAAAATACAGAAACCAATTGTGGAACAAAGGCCATCAACAAAATCATCAAGTAAATGTACATCAAATATTGTTGATTAATGTTCCATTAACTAGGAATCAAAGGCAACTCTAAACAGGTGAATTTTAGACAGGAACTCAATGTTTCCACTGTTGTTTTCTAGAGGTTTCTTCCAGATTACAGGAGCATAAAATCTTAATGCTGCTTCTCCATGTTTGGTTCTGTTTCTAGTTGATTAGAACTAGAAGACCTGAGAGATCTGGAAGGTTGATACAAAACGGCAGATCTTTAATGTATTTTGGTGCTAAGCCATTCAGTGATTCATAAACTACCAGAAGTATTTTAAAGTCTAGTCTGAGCTACAGAGAGTCAGTGTAAGAACTTAAGAACTGGGGTGATGTGCTCTATTATCCTAGTTTTAGTGAGAATGCAAGCAGCAGTGTTCTGGGTTTGACTTTTTAGGCAGAACTACAAAAACACTGTTGAGGTAATAAATGCAACTAAAGATAACGTTTCTCAAGATTATGCTGTGACTTTCTCCTTTTAATCATGGAAATGTTGTTCAGGGGATAAAGGCCGTCTTTGTAATTATGTTTATGTGTCTCTGAAGTTTCCTTTCTATAAGGACAGACAACTACTGCAAACATCCATGTTTTTGATTCTTAATCCCAGCAATATTATTCAGAATAATAGAACAAAGCTAATAACCCAATAACTGAGGTGAGTTTTTTACACAGAGAGTGCTTGACTTATAAACGAGGAAATCTCAGCTTTTTGTTAATATTTATAACAACCCAGTGAAGCAAAGAGCACCTTGAAGCACGAGTGGGGTTGAGCACTCACGTCTCATCCTCAGACTTCTCTCAACAAGGTTCATCTCCCGCTAATGGGGTCACTACTGTCTGGCACTGTATACCCTTTCCCATTCGTCAAACCCTCCATCACAGACAGACAGACAGACAGACAGACAGACAGACAGACAGACTCACAGATGTCTTCCATGCATCCATGCATGCACACAGACCAGTCTGCACAAGAAAACAAAATACGCAAACTGTTGCAGCGCTGTTACCGCCGAGCACTCAAAAACATAAACACTGGTTCATTATCAAGCCCTCCCTCATGTCCTCAAAGCCAATTAAAGCAGACAGCAAATTAACACAAGTTAGTGACCATAAAGACAGGCTGGATGTTTGGGCTTTCTTGTGGGAAAAATCATTTTGTAAATAATTGGGGGTTAAGGGATAAACGGGGACAGTTTAAACTAGGAGTTTATCTTCGGCTAATTGCAGAGATACGGAGCAGAGCTTTATGGGTGAAGTCGCCATGATGCTCCGTTCCAGATGTTGAGAGCAGCAACGGACCACCAAGGAGCGTTTCAAGATGAATGCATGAGCCGAGAAGGATGAGAGCTTTGATAAAACAGAAACACGTTTTCACTGGCAGAGATGCATCCAACCATGCATCCAACCAATGGACTGACTGGCCAATCAATCAATCATCCATCCATCCATCCATCCATCCATCCATCCATCCATCCATCCATCCATCCATCCATCCATCCATCCATCCATCCATCCATCAATTCAACCATACGTCCAACCAATGGACCGACTGACCATCCATCCATCCATCCATCCATCCATCCATCCATCCATCCATCCATCCATCCATCCATCCATCCATCCATCCTGATTTTTCCCTGACAGCACAGCTGATGCTGTGTTTCATGTTCATATTTATGTAGTTATTAAAGTTTCTGGCATCTCAAATCTCTTTGGACTTTGGAAAAGGTTTAGCATAATTATAAACAGCGGCGTTGTTACACGAATTGCGGTCGTCATGAGCAGGTGTTTAACGTCAGCGTTCGCAGATGTTGAATTTGTGGTAACATGCTGTAAATTGCTGTCTGTCCCCCCAGCCCCCAATTGCCAGAGAAATATGAGGGAGTAAATTGGATTTCTTGCCAACATCAAGCCATAACTGCAATCTGACACAATGTCTTTGATTAGTAAGGCTGTTATGATTTTACAGGCCAGTACGTAGAAACCATACAGCATGTTTTACATTACGATGCTAAATGAACCGAGCCCTTATGTTCTTGCGGTGCATTCAGGCCACCAAAGAGCTGTGTGAATTCTGATATTCACGAGCTCGACAGTGCCAGGAAGATAAACCAGCGAGGAAATTAGAGGACATTTTAATCATAAATCATTTATGCTGCAGTGTACAACAGTCAGATGGATTTCAACACTTCTCCTTGGGAAAGTGGATTTTTTTCCACCAATCTTTCACAACCTGTGACTTACAGGCTGTTTCAAAGAAAATGAGACTGCCAAACATCACTATAAACTCCACCAATATTTGTACGGTCATGTGGTGAGTGCTGTGCCCTTAGATTACATAAGTGATGCTAAAATACTCGTGTTTTGCAATCAGATATTCAAAGACCGAGGTTTTGCTCATAAATACATTAAAGGATAGATTCATCTTGTTCTTCTTTTCTGCATTTAAATTATGTAATAAATTGTGATAAAATTGTTTCTTATTTGCAACAAAAAAAGTCCAAATCAACTTAAACTGCAACTGTAACTTTTCTTTATTATCTAAGGCCTTATCACTACCCAGGATATCTGATGTTCTTATTTCTACAGTACCAGGTTCTTCAGTGATGAAAGATCAGTTACAGGCTTTGGTTCAATGGTTTCTTTATTTGTGTATGAAAGCTCTAAAAGTGGCTAACGTGAATACCAAAACCTTAGAAATAGCTAAACTACATATTGATGACTTTGGTTCTCTATACTGAGATATTTTAAGTTCAACTTCAAGTTGTCAGATAGTTTCAGTTTTGGAGTTTTTTGATTCAGTTGTTCAGGCAGTAATCAGATCTGGTCATGTCTGTAGAACTTGAACCAAAAAATGTGCTTGGACAGCAATAAATAGGAAAATTATGGATTTACAAAAGTTTGGAAAGTTTTCCATCCTTTATAAAATGATTGAATATTTCAAAGCTGTTTTTTTTTTTTGGGTTGACTCGTTAGATATTAACGTTTATTTAATGATGTGAAAAGTAATTTTACACTGAAATATTAACTGACAGGGAGTTTTCCTGACTGGTCGTTTTCATAAATATGTTTCTCCACTCCTGGTCTGTTGGACCTTTTTCAGCTTTTCCATTCTGGATTTGTTTTTGTTTAGCGATTAATCACTTTAATAAAGACTTAAATATGTCACTTCTTAGAGTAACACAGCAACTGTAGTTTTGATTAATGCAAAACTAAGGTAAACACTTGTGTTTATTGAAAATGACAGCAAATCCAGTACAGTAATGTCTAAGACATTATTTGTGGATTTCACTGACAGATTCATTGGTTTAAGATCATATTTTACAAATGTTTGCACCAACCGGACAACTTCGCCAGCAGTCAAACAGAGACCAGCCATGTGTTCATAACTTAGAAATCCATTGCTTTCGTAAATTCAAATGACGAAATTGGTTTCCATAATAGAATACACAAATGAACTCTTTTATTATACTGGATAGCACAATGTTATATTTGTAGTAAGTGTAATGTAATTTTTCACAACTTTTGTTTGTTTATCTCTCCTGGCAATAAGATATGCACGGTTTATTAGAATTTATATATCAGAGCAAGTAAAAATATTTTGTTTAAACTATCCTCCAAAGTAAAACAACCCTCTGTGTGACATAAAAGTAGACCTTTGCTGGTTCAGGTTTTAGAAGGGAAATAGCGACAACCTGCTGCTGATCAGAAGCACCTGATTAAATCATCATCAGTGTGAGCATGTCAGGAGCTGCGTTTTCATTACAAATGAGCTCAAAACTTTGTCAATTTTGCAATTATGTTGTTTCCATTAAATAAAAAACAATTAAAATCACACTTGAATAAGTTTGTTCACACAATAAGTCATTAAAAAACATACCATGATCGTCCAACTA